CCTTTGATAAGGATGCTCCTGCACATGGAAAGAGATCTTCTGCTGTAGAAAGAAAAGGGCATAAAAGGATCTGTCAGCAATACCCAGCCATCTCACAAGATATGAGCTGAAGCAAATGTAGGCTTTCTTACAGCCTGCAGTCAATGGAGCAGCACCTGCTTCTCATGTGGGTGAATTCAGTCCTGTTTTGTTACTTGGGGTTTACTCGCACTAGCAAGGAGCATTATTGAGACTGCTCAAGGTACCCTCCCAGGCTAAAATACCCCGTCATTGACACTTTGGTTCCCTACATGGACAATGTGTTGGCTTTATAAGGATCTTACTGTTTAATATAGTTCTTTTTAATTGCAATAGTTATCTGAAACATAACTAGGTGGTGTTGCTGGAACTCTGGTCCCTTAACGCAATGGCAGAGCTCACATGACACATTCTGGGTTTGTCCTGTATGGACGTCCATCTGTCCTCAGTTCAGCAGTAGCAGTCATTTTTCTCTTTCTTAGTAACTGGTGAAAAGTGGCATGAACTCCTTGAACAGTATTCTTTCGTGTGAGTAGAATTTAACATACTCAGTACTGGAAACCTGTCAGGGGTTTTTGATGGCATCCATTTCAGAATTTTTATAGCTGTACCTAGGGACTTCACTTTCTGGCAAATTGCTGGTATCTGTGAACCATGTTAAAATAGTCAGGTTGAGTTTTTCATACTTAAAGCCTTTAGCTGAGTAAGGACCTGATTACTCTTCAGATAATCTTCATCAGACCACATCTCAATAGGTGTGTCTATATACTAAAGAGTGATATCTATATCCTTTTTTTCAAGAGAGACTCTTAATCATGTAGTGCCTTCACTAGGAGACTGAACATTTCCTTTGGGAAACTTTGGGATGTAAATGAATGTCTCATGGGTACTTGTTTCAAACCAAAGCTCTCTGTGTAATGAATAAATACCTCTGAACATTGACTTTTCCATGTTGAAACACAGTCAGTCTCAATACAACCTGCTAGCATTTCTGTAGTGTTACTCACTATTCTGTATTTATCATCTTGTAAGAGGGTTCCTTGTGTGTGACCAATGGACACTCACAGCTGATAAAATCCATCTCCATGACCTACAGAGGGACTTTTCAAGAGTGGCCAGAGCCAGCCAACTGCTAACACTTAGCTTTACTTCCACAGTGTCTGAGCACTGGGGAGGCTGGGGCTGCTGGAGCTGTGCAGAGCCCAGGGAAACTGGCTGTCAGGCAGACAGCACCTGGGGGGAGCCCAGGGCTCATGCCCTGCTCACTGCTTCATAGGAAGGACCTGCTGCAAGGTCTGGTCTGTGGCACTGTGTCACCATGACAAGTCTCCTTTTTTTATGCATGGCAGGAACCCTTGAAATGTAATTTAGTGCAAAACAGAGATTTGTGGTTTTAATAATTGTCATAAATACCGGCAGCAGTAAACGAGTGCTTGTTCAGCTTATGCATAACACTCCAATAGATACAGCACTAAAAACTAGTGCTATAAGAACAGACCAGACCAGACCAGACCAGACTAGAACAATACAAACCTTCAGATAAAAAGGACTAAAATAATGATCTCTGAAGACAGAGCAATATTCTGGCTCATTTTGCACAACCCAGTGAATGGCTTCTCAGCCCATCTCCCCAGAAATTGGTGGAACAGAATCAGATGATAAAAGGGAACAGCACATGTGAAATTGTAGGAAATGTTTTATTTTTTATTTTTTACAGTTGCTGTTCAATCTACTTTAATAAAACCCCAAATATTTTATCCTTAAAATTTGCATATCACAGTGATGTGTCATCTGAAAACTACATTCTGACCAAGAAACTATAGAAACTGTGTTATTCATTGCTTCTTCTTGGGCAGGGTAGGAGGGAGGGACGAACTTGGTCAGACCTTTTGCATTTCCACTGTTTTCAGGGGATTCTTCACTAGTTTACTTCCCATATTTTAAGTGTCTAGTGTGTTACCAGTACAGTCTTCTTCAATAAAAATTTATGCATTTTTAAAGATTAGTTTTGCTTGCTACTTGTTGCTGTCGCTGCCTTCTGCTTGCAGGCTGCTCTTCGGAGCCTTCAATTTTACACAGTCCACATCATCTAAATCTATATCAGCACTGGCTCATTGGATTTCTGTTAGCATATTAAAAGAATAAAATGTAATATCTAAAGTACTTTAAACTTTTTTTTTCGTATGAACATTTCTAAGTAAAAGCCTCAGATGCCCTGACAAATCACCAATAAAATTCGCATCAACTTTCCTAGTGCAGAATCAGGCCCATAGAAAATCTTGAATGATTCGGTCTGCAGACTTCAGCCTATGAACATCTCACAAAAGACATCTTACAGATAATAAGGATGAGTGCTATTTCATCAAAATATGAAAGCTAGCAGTGAAGGAAAGCCATTATGCAGTGAAAAAACTCAGAATGTGAATCCTTTGTCCAAAATCTTTTGGCATAACTGCTCACTCTTTTTTTTGTCCTTGGGAGTGTACATCATTTATGTGATACTTCTTATGAAAGAGTAGCTCTGCTGCCGTCATTAACACATGGTTGGTGCGAGCTGTCAGTTATTTTGCTTGCATTGATGTGGAAGCCAGAGTCCCCTAAGAAAAGTCCGTGGAGCTAGTTCAGATTTGGCTTGACATCTGGAGAGCACAATTTAACAAAAAACAAAAATATGCAAATAAAGCTTAAAAAGCCTCAAATATTTCCTGGTGAATGTACACTGGCATGTATATATCTCACTCATGATGGTAGCATCCCTGTGATAAACTACACACATATTTGATAATTTGAAACACCTTTGATACTGCCAGTCTTAATCTGCTGTAGGATTATACCTTGTACTTCCACCCCCTAATAAAAAATCTTCACTTAATCTCCCATCTACTAAAATTACACCACCATTAGGCCTGATACTACTAGTACACTTCAGAGGTTAGGTTTAAAGTCCATCCAGAGTCTCCTACAATTAAAAATCTAATGCATTGTGTGGAAAAAACTGAAACCAAACCAAAACACTGATGTCAACTACAGGGGGCTCTAAAATGAAATAGTCATTATTTTTTTTCTGTCTAAGGTCATGCTCCAGAGAAAGAGGGGCTTCAGAAGTGATGCTAATGAAAGGCAATATACATTTAATTGCTTTTTACCATTACTTTTAAAATTAAATGGGATAAAAGTCTTTTAGTGTTCACATGGGACAGCCTACATGATCCACCTAGATGCAGGTGGATGCACCTACTTTTCCAGCCTGTGTAGCCATTTTGAGCCTGTGCTGGTAAAACCTTGCTTTCCTTGTCTGAATCTCATATGTTTCTTCAGTCTCCACTTTTATGCCTAAGGAACTGACAGATAATATTGACTGTTTCATGGAAAAGTATTATAATGAATCATCAGCCCTTGTTGCAGGACTTTTAAAATTTTATTTTATTTCAATAACATGAGTAGAGCCTGTTGCTTCAGACTTTGATGTTGTGGCCTGACAGGCCCTGGCCAGAAATTAGGCTGATTGACTAATTACAGCAATGTCTTACATGAGCCCTGGCTTGAAACAACTTCTTTTGTTTGCAATACTCTCAGGAACCAGTTTAGTGCTGTGCTGAGAGTGTGTGCTCTTCATTTGTCTTTTCCTTTGACCTGCATTGTATCTTACTTTTCTCTTTGTTATCATCCATTTCTTCTTCACCTGCCCAGCCTAATTCCTCTTGCTTTTATTGCCTAATTATCTCCCTTCTCTCCCCAGCAGTCTCTCCATCCTCTGTCTGTGACTCTCTGGCTCTTTCATTGTTGGTGTGCAGCACTGGATCTTTTCCATTGACCAAGGTCTTGAGTCTCCTCAAGGGTTTCATTGTCACCTGCTGCTTCTTTTCTGATTTCTTCTTCTAAGAGCTCTCTGGTCTCCATTGGCAGCACTAGTGCATCAATCAGCAATGGCCTTCCTGCTCTGCAGCCTACAAATTCTCTAACAGTGGGTTTTGTTGGACACTTGGGCCTTTGCTTCCATGCTTACTTTTCTTTCTCATATGTGTTGCTTTGCTGCTTTCTCCCCCATTGGATGTTTCTGCCTTTCCTGATGACGAGCTCACCCTCAGCCTCTTTCATTCCTCAGAACTGTAGGCAAGCAAGTCCTAAGGAAAAAGCATTCCACTGAAGGCAGTATCTCTGTGTTTTCATTTTCTGCTGAAAAGAATAAAAATTATTCCAGGTATATATCACAATTTATACAGATTGAAACCAAAGGCATTTTGTCTTTGCAGCACTGACACAGATCCTGTGGGACTTCCCCTGCCTTTCATCATGGGCTGGAGTGGCTTTGATGACCTTCTGGATGTAGACTTCTTCTCTGACACATTGTGAGAAGCAGTTTAGCACACAAGGCTTACTTCTCAAGACAAGAAACAGCTGACAGGTAGCTCCACATGCATAGTTGCATTTTAAATGTGGACTAGATCTGGTTGTAACACTTGCATAAACAGAAAACTGTTCAAACTTGCATTGCTATAATTTGTCAGAGAGGATGATTCTGTTCCCTGCAGTGAGATAATACTTGGACTTGCTTGAGTGTTTAAGGTTTTATTTTGCATGACTTGGATAACCCAGCAATGAAAAACTCTCCCTTGAATCTGCCAGAACCTGGACTTAACCTGCATGTCCTTTATCTTAAGCTGCAACCTGGACATCACCAGGCACATCTGTTTTTTTGTTGAATTCAGCATTCAGCACACTTTATCCCTGTGCTTCTGCAGGACACCCACAAACACATAGCCCTCATGTGTGTGGTGGGAATGTAAATTCATTTAGCTGCTGTTTATTAAACAACGGTGTAATTCTGTTGACAAATGTTTATGTGAATACTCTCAGGTAGTTTCTCAGACTTTCTTCATATCTGAGAGTTTTAAAGGGTGAGTTACACAGAGGAGTAGAAAATCTTGCTATAAAGATGAAAAGCAGCCCATGTTATTACACAATACAGACACAAGCAGACATGTATTCCAAAATATTCCTTTATTCTTAAACCAAGCACTCCAGTGTTTTAAGTATCTTGGTCATAGTTTTCCAATTAATGTGTGCTAGACTTGGCCTCCAAATTCAGTTCATGCTAGGGAGTCTTCGTTACAGTAAGGATTCCCTTAAAGTTACCAAAGAAGAGAATGAATTCCCTTTCTTGCTTTTCATTTGCTCAGGAGTGAAGTTACATTGGCTTTTTGGTTTCCACCTCCTGACTTTATGGATCTGTATGCAGTATCTACAGCCATGACTCTCTTCTCTCCTGGACAAAACAGTTACAAGTGCAGCATCAGCCTTCTTCAATTGAATTCTGGAAACATTTAGTTACCTGTAAAAAGAGAAGTGAAAATCTGCTTCCTTTTCAGCCCTGCAAGCTGTACTCTCACTAGCCAGCACCTGGCCCTCCTAAAATGACAGAAGTAACTTACTGATGGCCTGGAACTTACATCTTACCTGGAACTGACCAAGCTCTTCTTTAAATTTGAATAAGCACTGGGAAAAGGTACTGCGTTGCACACATTAGGCCCCAGATTATTTTATCTGGTCAGATCATGATCACTGAAAACTTCCTCATGCGGCTGCCAAGTAGGATCTTGGCTTATCCATAAGGAGCGATATTTTGAAAGCAAACATGCTTTGCTAGGCTGCTCCTGACGTATCCATCACAACTCTCCCATTATTCACAGGGTGGGACCTGAGGTAGAGAAGTGAGGCTATTTGTTAAAGTACAGCCCCTACTCACGGGACTCATTTTACTTAAACATAACTGATGCTGCGGAGTGTATGCATATATATCTTTAGGTCCTCCAGCTTCTTACTGCAGAACCGTATCCTTGCTGACAAATCCTTTTACACCTAGCAATCCGTTTATGTAACTGTAGAATCAGGGCTATTTTTGCAGTGCAGAAAGGGCTGGAAAATTACAGCAATTGCTTACTTACAGCAATTGCCTTTCTCCCCAGGTAGTTCCACTCCTTTCAACAAAGGGTCAGTCAGTGTAAAAGAAGAAGAGTTTGCCTGTTAATTACAGCTGATTTTAGTTTGTCTTCTAATCTGAAGGTGTACAGCCATGGACTCTGGTGATCAAGGCTGAAGCTGGGAGGGGTGGACTCACTGGCTGGAGACAGCTTGTTGATCCTGCCTCCTCAGTTACTTTTTTTCCACAGATTGTTCCATCTTTAGAAAGTCACCTGGCTCCGATCAGGAAATGTGAGGAATCCTCTCTCCTCACTGCTTACAGACTGGACTCCACAAATCACTGTTTCCCTAATATCTAGAGAAAAATAAGGAAATATGGATGGAAGTTTCAAATTGTAACATTAACAGCGGAAGGCAATGATGTCTATGTTTATGAACTACAAGAAGTTCTGATTTCACTACTTTGAACTCACTATCCTAAGGAAAAAATGTATGTATTTACTTATGGCCTTCAGAAAGCTAAACATTTACAAACAGTGGATGAATAATGGTAGCATGTTGTTTTGTAAGCCTTTTCCCAAGTCTTAGATCTCTTTCACATCTTTAAGTCCCCCAAAGAAATGCATTTAAAATTGTCTTCTTTTTATACACTCCTTTTTCAGGAAAGAATGAAGTTTAGCACATAGCTACTTTAAGATTAAATTTTTCTGAATTATCAACAGATAGTAAAACAAGTTATCATGCAGTTGTTCCACACATTGAACATACAGAATTACAAAGATAAAATGGTAAGAAATGCTCCCAGCACTGAGACAGTGAATGTAAACAAGAGGTCTCAGTCATTGTGCATACATTACTCTGCGAGCAAAATGTACACATACTCTTGGCATATTGAGACAAGAGCTGTATCATACCTTTACCAAGGCATCATACCTGTGCAAATTATAATATACACACACAGAGCTCTAAATAAGAATTGATCTGTAAGTGACAGGGCAGCCTCTGAACAAACAGTTGTTCTAGTAAAAATCCTCAGTTCTCGACCCACTCCAGCCTTGATCACTTCCTGAAAACATAGCAGTGGAGTCTGCCAAGTGCTGTTGTCACTATATAAAAACCAATACAATAGCATTAAAAATATATATAAAAAAATAAGCATGCATAAGATTAAATGATAAAATCAATAGCTTCTGGAGAGGACCTGCATTATTCCTAGTCTGTCTTTTGTTTGCTACAAACCTACAGAAACCATTCCTGTTATCTTTCACATCCCTGGCCAAACTCAATTCTAACTGATTCCTAGCTTCCCGGACAATGTCCCTCCATTATTCCCAGGCTGCCTGCCCTCTCTTCCTGCTTTTAAAGCTTCTTTTTTTTCCCCTATCAGTTTTCTCAGCAGCTCCTTATCCATCCACAGAAGCCTCCTGACCTTGCCCCATTTTCTTCTTCTCAGGTCACAACACTCCTGAGCTTAGAGCAGGTGATCCTTGAATATCAACCAGGAGTCTTCACCTCCATCCCTAGCCCTCTAGGGCTGTACCCCATGGAACCTTACTAAGCAGGTTCCTGAAGAGGCCAAAGTCTGCTCTCTTGAAGTCCAGGGCAGTGAGCTTGCTGCATGCTCTTCTCACTGCCCTGAGGATCTCAAATTCGACCATCTCATGATTGCTACAAACAAGTCTGCCTTGGAGCATCACATTCCCAACCAGCCCCTCCCTGTTGGTGATCACGAGATCAAGCATGGCACCTCTCCTTGTTGGTTCCTCTATTATTTGCAACAGGAAATTGTCTTACCACATAGTTGAGGAACCTTCTGGATTGCTTGTGCTGGGCTGTACTGCCCCTCCAACAAATATAGGGGTAGCTGAAGTCCCCCATGAAGGGGGCAAGGGTCTGCAAGTGCGAGGCTGCTCTCTACAGCTCTCCATACAAGGAGCCCGCATAAAGCAAGCTTAGACTAGATCCTTAACTTTTACATGGCTGAAAATGAGTGAGATTAATTTGTTCTCTGCATTATTCTGTGTCTGCATGGAAAACTGAAGATAATGACACTTCAACTCTGTCAGAGTGATTAAGTGAATATCAGTAGTGTAGGTATTACAGTAAAAATATTGTTGAGAAGCAAAAGGGATTCTGGGGGAAATGAGTTTGAGATAAATCAGCCCACAGTTCTACAAGGTTTAGGGAATACATTTCAGTTGGAGGAGAAACTGCAGGAATTATACAAAATGCTTATTTTGAACATCACTGAGGTAGAAGGAAATCCATCCCTCTTAGCAAACAATGTTCAACTCTTTGAAAACAGAAGACTTAGCTGTAAATGCAGCCAGAAGCAGACTATTCATGCCAAGGTATCCAGTGTAATAAAACATATATCAAGTATTCCAGGATAATGGAAAGCACACACTGTCATTAGTTTGTAGAGAAGCTACTGCAGTGGAGCCTTGTAGGAATTCTCATCAGGTTGAAATGACTGGGCATTGCACCAACACAAATGTTTGTTACTGATAGCAGTTATGGGAATATAACACTTAAAACCCCCACATCACTAGCCTCATTCACAAAAACTGTTCATCTGCTTCCCTGTGGGTACTATGGCCCAGATTTTATCCTTCAGTCTGTGTGCAGTTCAACTTCCTTTCTTTCACCTCTTAGCCAAAAAAGGTAATGTGTGCTCCATGTGAGGTTTAACTTTCAGAAGCCATTTATCAAGCTATTTATCACATTTATTTGGCAAATCAAATGGAATGAGGAAAAAGCATTTTGAATCTCAAGGATCATTTCAATCTGTGGTGGCGTTGAGGCAGCTCTAGTTAGTAACAGCTTTTGAATGCATTGGTGTTTTTGTATTGAGCAGGATTACTGTCCTTGGAACATGTTTCTAGGGCATTTCCTGAACTTCTAAAATTGAACTTTTGGTTTCAAGTTGTTGTGTTGTTTTTTTTTTTTTTAATATGTCATTCTATAGTGACAGGTATAGAATGGACAAAATCCTGCAGAAAACAAACATAGCCATACATTTCCAATAGAAATATCTTTCACAAATGCTACTCTAATATAATAATATAAATTAAAACTTGCATTAAGAAAATCAAATCTCTGGAAACAATCCAACAACTCAGCAAATAGCCCTTCATCCTGAAGAGAGACGGGCCCCATGCCAGGAAGGGAACAAGATCAGCTCCACACCAGGGTGTTCGCTGGAGATTGCTCTGCTGGTCATGGAGTGTGAGACATGAAGAATATCCTTGACCAAATGTAGGAATGTGACAGCTCTTCCTGAGTCAGCTTCCTACAGCTCAGTCCCTCTAAATACCCCTGTGCAGGTGCTTAACTTATCCTGGCTGTGAAATAGCTTCCCTTAGCTTAAACTTTACTAAGCAGAATTTAAGCTAAGGCACATTGCCTTAATTTGGGCACATGAAGAGCAAGCTCCAGTGAGTTGCTGAGAGAAAAATGGGTCAGCCACCCCACGTTTCCCAGTTTACTTCTTTAAGAACTTATGAATGATGTGATTTTCTTTCAAGTAACTTTTGCAAGGAGGTGAAATGAAAGCCTGAAATGAATTTGAGGGGCATTTAGCTGTCCTTCCACTTTGAAAGAAAAGGCACACTAGGGAACTTGACTCCTTTGGCAATCTTTGTAATTTGATCCAATTACGTTTTTTATATTCAGTTTTCTAAATGAAGCTTTAAAAAAACAATACCCTTTCCCCCTTTTCCCTGTCCCACTCCCAAATATGCACTGCTCAGGTTGTGAAAAGCCCTTCCTCTTGGGCATAGCTCACAGATGGGCAGAAAGAATACTGTGATAGGCTTTGGAACAGATAGGGCTCAGGGCACCAGTATTTTAATCTTCAGCTATTGTGGTTAGAATCATAAAAGTTAGGGTTGGAAAGGACCTTAAGATCATCTAGTTCAACCCCCTGCCATGGGAATGGACACCACACACTAAACCATGCCAACCAAGATTCTGTCCAGCCTGGCCTTGAACAGTGCCAGAGATGGACCATTTACCAATTCTTTGGGCAATCTGTTCCAGTGCCTCACCACCCACACAGTTAAGAACTTCTTTCTTATATCTAACCTGAACTTCCCCTCTTTAAGCTTCAACTCATTACCCCTTGTTCTATCACTACAGTCCTTAATGAGTAGTCCCTCAGCAGCACCATTATAAGCCCCCCTCAGATACTGGAAGGCTGCTATGGGGTCACCACACAGGCTTCTGCAGGCTGAAAAGCCCCAACTTTCTCAGTGTCTCTTCATACAGGAGGTGATCGAGATCCCTGATCATCCTTGTGGCTCTCCTCTAGACTTCCTCCAACAGCTCCATGTCCTTCTTCTGTTTAGGACACCAGAACTGCTCACACTACTCCAGATGGGGTCTCAAGAGCAGAGTAGAGGGGAAGGGTCACCTCATTTGACCTGCTGGTCATGCTCCTTTTGATGCAGCCCAGGATACGGTTGGCTTTGTGGGTTGCGAGCACACATTGAAGCCAGCTCATGTTCATTTTCTCATCAACCAACACCCCCAAGTCCTTCTCTGCAGGTCTGCTCTGAATCTCTTCTCTGCCCAACCTGTAGCTGTGCCTGGGATTGCTCCGACCCAGGTGTAGGACCTTGCACTTGTCTTGGTTGAACTTCATGAGGCTTTCATTGCCGCACCTCTCAAGCATGACCAGGTCTCTCTAGATGGCAGTGTATCAGTCGAGTCACATAACAGTGACATCAGCAGACTTGCTAAGAGAACACTCAATCTCACTGTCTATGTCACATACAAAGATGTTGAACAGGATCAGTCATAACACCAACTCCTGAGGGACACCACTTGCTCCTGGTCTTCAGTTGGACATTAAACTGTTGACCACAATGGCATGTGGCCATCCAGCGAGTTCTTTATTCACCAGGTGGTCCACCCATCAAATTGATGTCTCTCCAATTTAGAGTCAAGGATTGTCCCCCATTGTGTGGGACAATGTCAAATGCTTTGCACAAGTACAGGTAGATAATGTCAACAGTGTTGCCCCATCCATCAGTTCCGTAGCCCCATCACAGAAGACCACCAAATTGGTCAGGCAGGATTTCCCTTAGTGA